CTACGGCAGCTGGAGGGTGATATACTGTCGGATGGCTCCCTATATTGGAGTATTGTGTGTATTCTCATCTATCTGACGCATACTCGACCTGATATATCTTATCTTATACAGATTGTAAGCCAATTCATGTCGGCTTCGCGCAAACCTCACTGGTCGGCTGTTCAACAAATTTTGAGATACTTAACTGGTACTCAGGAGGTTGGTTTGCTATTTCCGACTGGAGGTGACTCGGTTCTTGAGGCTTTTCAGATGCCGACTATACTTGTTGCCAAGACACTCGTTGTTCTACTTCCGACTGGTGCGTCAAGATTGAGAATTCATTTATATCTTGACGGTGTAAGAAGCAAGATTGGGGTATCAAAGTCATCTACAGAAGCTGAATACCGGTCCATGATTGAAGTGTCTTATGAGATTATGTGGCTACTTAGACTGTTGGGAGAGCTCAGGGTTACTTGTCAGGAGCCAGTTCGGATACATGTTGACAATACGAGTGTTATCCGTATTGCAACTAATTCGGTGTTACACGACAAGACAAAGCATATTGAAGTGCACGTTCACTATGTTCGTCAACTTGCAGCCAAAGGGACTATGGAACTCACCTATATCACTTCTGAAGACCAGACAGCTTATCTTTTAACTAAGGCAGTGTCTACTTCACGTCACTGGTTTCTAGCACACAAATTGATGTTGCGTCAGCTACATCAACTTGAGGGAGGGTGTTAGAAGTGTAAGTATCAATTTGTAATTGTACAATAAGTGACGTGAGAAGGGATTAGGGTTATAGGTTAGCCGAGTATATATATATATGAGTTGTGATGGCTGACCTATGTAACCACTATAGTGAATAAGATCGATCTCTGCCTTGTGCCGTGGACTAGTCTTTACGATACTTGTCAAGGAAACCACGTAAATCCGGTGTCTTTCTTCTCTCGTATTTGTGTTGCATATTATTATCAAGTGTAACACTCGTGTATTTATGTCCATAATTATGACATCTGAAACACTTGGTTTTGTATAGTTTTCCAAATTTAACCTTAGTTGAATTTTTTAAATTTAAGTTTTTGCTAGTAATTGTGTCACAAATTTTTCTTGATTTTGGCAGTCACATTCCAGCTGGATTACTTTTTTAGTAAGGTTTTGTAGAAATCTTTTTAGCTCATTGATATTGTCCATGATTTTATAAAACATCCATTATGTTCTTTTTAATTTCTTTTTAGGTTGTATTTGTGAGCTATCATTTTGAACTTTAGTTTTTTATATCAAATGACTTTAAGGAGTCGTTTGAATCATAGTCTATGCATGCATGAAGTGGTTCAAGTAGTACCTAGAAGTTTGATGTTTATTTGGCCATTAGACCAAGATGGTTTTGTTATACAGGATCCATGTAAATTTTGTGGTCTTTTCCAGTTTCTTTTAGGGCAACCATCTCTAATATGGCCAGGTTTTTCACGTGTGAAACAAATAACAGTGCATTTCTCGATGGTTATGGAATTTTTGTGTCCTTTTATTTTTACTATTATTTCTATTGTATTCCTATCAAACTTTCTATCATTGCTAAATCTTCCAAAATTAGTGTTCTGATTTCTTTTGAACAAATACCCTAATTTCTTTAAAAGAAATGTTATTTGTTCTTCTATTTCTTCTTCGTCTTCCATCAATTGAGATTTGAGGGCTAGATCCTTCCTCTTGCGAGGTTGATCATTATTCTCAATTCTTAACACACTTTCATGAGCATTTAGTGAGCCTATTAACTCACTTAATTCAAACTTAGCCAGATCTTTTGATTCTTCTTTGGCCGTTACCTTTGGTCTCCAAGACCTTGGTGGAGAGTTTAAAATATTACTAATTAAGTCAGCATTGGTGTATACTTTTTCAAGGGTCATTAATCCACTAACTATATTTTTTAACCTTTCATACATTTCAGTAATATTTTCATTCTCACTCATTTTGAACAGTTCATATTCCCTGACTAGCATTCTTATCTTGGTATCTTTAACTTGGGACGTACCTTCATATGTAGTCTCCAGGATGTCCCAGATTTTCTTTGCATTTTTGCACATGGCTACTTTGCTATACTCTTCTCTTCCAAGAGCAAATTTAAGAATATGTTTGCCATTGGCATTGATTTGTAGACTTACCATATCTTTTTCCAGTCCAAATCCCGATGTCGTTCTCAACTTGCTTTGGTCCTCTTTTTATATTGATCCAGACCTTCATGTCATAGGCTTGTAAGAAATCTTCCATGCAACCTTTCCAAAAGGCATAATTGTTGTCGTCGAGTTTTTGTGGTCTTGTTGCAGACTATATTTCAGCTTGCGTGACTTAGGGGTGGGCGTTCGGTCGGTTCGGTTCAAACCAAACCGAACCAGTACATGCCGATTTTCCGAGATTACAAATACCCCAACCGAATTCGAACCGAACTATATTTCGGTTCGGTTTGCCCGAACCGAAATATAGCTCGGTTCGGTTCGGATTTTTTTGTCAAAACCGAATTTATGCAGCGTGAAGACTTCCCCTCTTTGCCTTCATCCATTACCTCGCTCTCTCTCCTCTTTTTGCTCTTCTCCGCTTTTTCTCCCTCTCTCTAGCTATCTAACTCTCCCTCTTTCCCGATTCCCATAAGCAGAGCAACAAAGCCAACCCTCCCTGCCTCTTCGTCGTTCCCAGCTCCCACAAAGCCCAACCCTCCCTGACTCTTCGTTCTCCCCCAAATCGATTCGTCTCATCTCCCTCTATCCCCGACCATCGTCTCCGCTCCCCGAATCCCCCAACCCCAACCATGCATCTCATCCTCCACCTTCGACAGAGATTCAAAAATCTCCCCCAATCACCCCCAATCTCATTGATTCTCTCTCATCGACTCACTGGACACTGGCAGAGGCTACCAATGACACATGCACCGCCGGGGTCAGCAGAGGCCACCGATGACACATGCGCCGCCGCGGGAAGCAAGAACAGATCCAGACTCTCCTTCGATTCAACATTTGTTTTTGTTTTTGTTTGATTCTGTTTTGTTCTAGGTTTGCTAATCTGAGGTTTTGTCTTTTTTGATTTGGTTGGTTTTGATTATAAATGGCCGGCGATGAGAAGAGAATGGAGAGAGGGAAAGGATAGGACTCCAATGGCCGGCCAGAGGAAGTTGGCGGCGGTACATCCACGGCAGGGGATGGCGACGGCAAAGAGGCAGGGTGCTGGTTCTGGAAGAAGTTAAAGAAGATATGATTTTGGAATGGGCTAGGGTTTTAGTGGCAGAGAGTGGGCTTGGGGTTGTGGGCTGTATGTGTGTGAGGGTGGGCTTGGGTTGTGGGATGTGTGAGAGTGGGCTTGTAAATGTGGGTTGTGTGTGAGAGGGAGAGGAATTTCGGTTTGTTCGGTCGGAATTCGGAATTTCGGGTTCGGTTGGGCACACCCTGGTTTCCGAAGTATTGGGTTTTGCCTTCCGAATTCCGAACCGAATAACAAAAGTTCGGTTTCGGTTCGGTTTATTTCGGTTTCGGTTCGGGTCGGTTCGGTTCGGGTTTACCGAACCGGTTGCCCACCCCTAGCGTGACTGGAGGAAGATGACTCATCATTCTGGTTGAAGAGCTTCTAGCTTCCATCCTTGGATCTTGTTCCTCGTTAGAAACCTACTCTGATAACAATTATGGAACATGTGTAGCACACAAATATTCATATAAAATAATAAATAAATACAATTAATTATGGACTGGTCGTCTTGACTTATATATTGGGCTTGACCCATTGCTAAAGTCTAAGAGTTTCACGAGATGGGATTTGGCCCTTATAAAGTCGTCTTCAACCTTGGATGGGCAAGGTAGTAGAAAAGCAAACACTCAATAGAGGACAGTAAGGAGAGACACAAGTACACACAATGGTTTCTTAACTGAGTTTGGCCTATTGCTTTACGTCTTAGCTCAAAAGTGACTTACCCATTGATACCTAGTCTCTAGAATTTTATCTTATTCCAATGTGACTCCAAGTTGAGTCCCTTTGGGTGGAACTCAGACCCTTGACAAGAATAGAACAATATACTCATTTCTCTCTTCCTCACAAGCACTCACGCTTAGGGATGGCAACGGGTCGGGGGCGGATAGTGTATATCTATTACCCTACCCAAAGTAGTTCGGGTTTTACCCATACGCATACCCACGTAAGAATCAGGTAGAAACTCAAAATCATACCCATACCCGTACCCGTTCTGGTTTCGGGTATCCGCGGTTATCCATGGGTAATAATTTCACTTTATAAATCCAACCAACATGTTAACATTCACCCGTATACTCACCTATATAAGTGGAAAGGTACGGAAATAATTCACTAGAATGAAGAAAATTAATTTCAAACAACACAATTTCATGAAAATATTATATTTGTATGCTATATATAAAACATGTCGAGAAAAATAATGATCATTTCTTGACAAAATACATATGCATGTGTATACTCGGACGGATTCGGGTTGGATAGTGAGAAAATCATGCCCGCCCATTATCCACAATATTCAGGTTCTGGTTTTACCCGTATCCACTGAAAATTGTTCGGGTTCAGATTTTACCCTACTCGATTAGATCGGAGTCGAGCGAATATCCACGATTTCGGATATTATTGTCATCCCTACTTACGTTATATAGAGAAACTACACAATATCACAGTCACTTAAGCAATACATACACTGAACTACTACAACTTCCGACACCTATTGATGATCACAGTGTTTGATTTTTTTTTTTTTTTTTTTTTTTTTGTGTGAGTTCTCGGGCACATTCCGGAAGACTGCCTCCTATTTATACTTCTTTTTTTTTTTTTTTTTTTGACAATACTATTTGTACTTCCTTTGATGCACCGGTCTTCTATCGATCTTTCTTTTGATTTGGGAGATTCTTTATTGCAATTATATTTTTGACAAGTAATCATAGTTTTACAGAAAGTTTAACCTTTTTACCAGCAGAGAGAGGGGGAAAAACCAACAGGCAATAAGGGCGATCATGCCTTATTGATAACCAAAGAAAAACGAACAAGCTCTCGTCGCATTTCATCCATTGCAAGCAACACTAAGACGAGTTACTGACTGCACACAGCACTCTCTTCCAACCCTGGCTTGGCACATCTCTGGAAATAGATTCGATTGCAAGTCTCGACCAACAACATGAAGAGACTAAGAAAAGAACGCAGCTAGGATCTGTCAAACAGTACGTCCCTCTTACTAAGCACAATTCATGCAAATAAAATGTCCGCAACTTTCTTTGTAATCCTACAGGACCCAGAAAAGAACAAAAAACCAATACAGAATACCAGTAAACCAGTTTTACGGGGGGAAGAAAGATCTACAACTTCCTGTTCATTTAAACTACTGTAGTAAAAAAGTCTCAAAACATGACAAAAGAATCAATTAAAAAATGCACTGTAAGTTCCAACAGCTCCCCCCCTTCCTTTCCTTCCCACCAAGTAACCCAAAATAAACAACAGAAAAGAAAGGCTACAGACTTCTTTTAACTTACACCTAGTGGCAAATACTGGACAATCCTTCTTAAAGTTTCTGGCTTCCCACCTGTTCTTCCTCCCCACTCTGTTTTACCTTTGTAGGACAAGAGCTACTTACTACTACAGTCAATCACATTTTTCTTCTGCTCTTGAGACTTCACATCAACCCAACACATACTCTTCAGAACAACAATAACTTCGTCATCTCCTAGCTTTTAGAAGATGAGAAGGGGGCAAAAAGAAGAGGTGAAAAAGGAAAGAAGAATTCTTTGTGGAGGGGAACTTGCACAGAGCTAAAGGAAAGATTGCAAAAGAGAACGTAGCTATTAGCAAGCTGCCCAACCAGGGTACGAAAAACAAGTTGCCTCATCATCGTGGATACACCGCCAGTTGATAAGCAGCTGCCTCAGGACCTCACGTCTCGCGATACAGTAAGAAATTAGCATAGGCAATTGTAGTCCTACAGATTTTGAAGGGGGCATCATCATCATCATCCAAACTGTGAGTGTAGAAGATCTGTTGTAGTAGCCTCCACCCTAAAACCGGTCGGTGGGAATGGAAAAAGAAATTCTCCTCCAACAGCAACCCAAAATAAGTCAACCACACGCAGATTCGTACAACTTGCTGCGACTGTTGTCTCCTTTTATGCATAGTACATGTACAAGCTGTTTGCCGCTGCACAGGCGATTGAGTTCTCGGTAGGATGCCATGCAAGGTGCAGCAACTTTGTCGCTGAGTCAAATGAATTCCCATTTGCATCGACTCCCGGACTTTCCGCTCCTGTCAATGATTCTTATATATTTAAGTAGGATGTATGCCTGTAACGATATGCCTAACTTAACTACCAAAAGGAAAGGGGGGTGCTGGGACAAGAGAGACGAATGAGATACAAACCCCGTCTCACGACACGTGTTAAAGTGGTGAGGGATCTTGATGGCCTTGAAGGGGTCTGAACTTGTCTCCTGCAAGTGAAAGAGCACAGCTAGTGAGATCACATACTCGGTATACTTTGTCATGGAGATCAGTAGGTCAAATAGAAAGACTACCTCATTGGATTTTTGCTGGCTTCCAAAGTTGTTGTCTCAGTACTTCCAGGGGAGCAACCGAAAACACGGAACAGATTGCTACAATTGGAAAGATGAGATATTTGAGATGCATTCACGAAGTGCCCTTTTCTTCTGTTATCACATTAGCACCCAGAATACATACCTATAAGAACCTGTAGCTACACGAGACCCATCTCCACTTAAACAACACTCAAATTTGTCAAAGATGGAATCATTCTCGTACAAATCACACAGCTGCAAACCATAAATGTCAAGATTAGCAAAGAAATGGTATATTTAACTTAAGCCTCACGTGGAAAGAAATCTCACCTTGGGTCTTAAATATTCATGGACCTGGAAGGTTGAAACTGGGCCTGAATCCATGTTTATATCCCACAACTAGGAGCAAAAACATTGGGAGGCAAATCAGAAACAAGTATCTAACAAATTTATAACTTAACTATACTAGGACCTGGAACAAGCGACAATCTTTGGCAGGCGTATAAACAACTTCAGCTCACTCGGGACATTTTTTATTATACCGACATGCAAAATAAATGAAAATCAAATATCATTCAGCGAAGGTAGAAGCCTAAGATTTAAGGTATATATCAGGAAGAAAAAAAAAAGAGAGGTCAAACATCATAATTCCAACATGACACGCTGTAGCTTTGTTCAGTTGCTACTGAAACAACTGTTTCAAACAAATATCTGAAACACTGATGCGATCAAAAGCAAACACCAGATCCATTGCCATGTAGGCGAGACGTATTCTATCATAACCCGTTGCAGCTAAGAAAAAAAGTGCAGCTACTTTTATGCCTAAAGCTAACACCATTAACCTGAAGCCCAGGACCTAAATCTACAGAAGAAACGTCTTATACAGCATAACCCTTGAGTAGCTTTCAACACAATCTATGAAAAACGCTTACTAACAAATCATTGACCAAGTAAACATTGGTTAAGGGTGTTAGTTTATCTTCAAGAGTTGAAACCTTGGCACTCTCTCAAATAATGATTTGTGTCCTGGACTCATAGAGTTAATCCTAGCCACCTTTCTCAAATACTGAAAATGGTGTTTCTAATGTCCTGGACAGAGTTCCATGACAAACAAGTGCTCTTTCTCCAGAGGAAGGTGTTACACATCTGACCTCAGTAGAAGATACATGGCAACCATCTGAAGACGTAGACATTTGTATTTAATCACATTCACAAAATTTGAAGTCAGACATTTTCGATTTCACACAATAAAGGAGCACAAACCTTTAGCGTCATGTAATCACGACTAAGCAAATATCGTCCATCTTTTGCAAATTTAATATCAGAGATTGAAGCGATTATCTCTGTGAAAAATGACCTAGAGCCAGGAGCCTCTTGTTCCTCAAACCTGTGAGAAAGGGAAACAACTAGTTAGCGTCTACAGTTTTAGAGGCATACAACTGACTCTATATTTCTTAGAAACCCACACCCCGGATATACACTACACCAAATGGCAATAATCCCATCTTTTAACCAACTCAATCAAACCAAAAGCAGAAACTGATGAGTAAAATAAGACAGAAGGGGATAAGATTAGGAGACATCGGAAATAGACTAGCCAAAAAGCACGAGACCAGAACATGTTGGACACTCACAATTTAGCATGAGAGTCACAGAGAGCTGATTGTCGTAAATCAATTAGCCTGATCGAGCCTTTCGAACTGCTATATGCTAACATATTACATTGATTAGGGTGGAATTCTGCCGAAGTTATCACCTCTGCACATGTAATGTCAGACATGTCAAGCTGAAGACTAAGGAAAGCAAAGTGCAGCAAATAGACAATAACTTTCTACACACACCATGCTCTCAGTGTGCAAGAACTTGTCATCATATTATATCACTTACCAGTTAGATCCTCCATATTTGCAGGTTTGACATCAACAATATTGAAACTTTGGTTGCTAATTTCCAAGTTCCAAAGATTTATTCGCAGATCATCAGCTGATATAAAAGTCTCACCATCACTACAAAAAATGTAACAAAGATGTTATCTTTAGCTTCCCAAGCCAAGTCCAATTAATAGAGAAGCTGAATGACAAGGAAAGCCCTTGCATGCAAATAGTACAGAGAATCTTGATGTCATTTGTAAATATGCAAGACAAAATTTAACCAAGTACAACAGTGTTTCCTGTTGAAAGATTTAGTGGAAGCAAAAACCATAACCAAATTACCAGTGTTAAGGTGATGGTATAAAATAACACGCAGAAAGTTGAGTTTAAAAGGAAAAAAGAATGCCAAGTATCAAGGGGCAGTGACTGAGGATATATAATTCACAGTGGCATTTCATTACAGGAAAAATGAAAAGAAGCAATCAAATAGGTTCAAAGACCAAAGATATGCAGTTACAAAACAGGATAAAGAAAACAATGGTAGAGTGAACCTACCTATTGTTTGAAATGGAATTAATGTGATAATCATGAGCATGAGCATACACCCTACGACATCTCGCCACCAGACTCGTCTCAGCGCTAGTAACCTACATTCACATAACAGTCAGATCCAGATAGCAGAACCAGTTGAGGAATGTAAGATATCCTAATAAGTTTGCAATTGTTTCCAAATTGGTACTTTTCAGCTATAGCAGACAGAAGCACTGGCAGAATAGAAGACACATCTTAGGCATCAGAAACAAAGACAGCAAGGCAGAAAGGAGATCTTTCTATACATATGTAGCTGAATAATATAGCTATAAAGCACTCATAAACAGAGTACACCATAGTTCCCAACCTCTTGAATTCATTTCTCTATATAAGTTCCACAGAAAGTTCTTTTCCCTGTTTGATTAACATCATCATGGCCAGGCCAAAATCAAAGAGAAAAGGTGTTCGGAAGTAAAAATAATTGTGCAGACAGCAATGAAGTGGTACAACTACCACTGGCAAACGCAGCGATGGGAAGCCTCCAGCTGGGATGGAAAAATCGTTGCCAGGAGAGTTGTTCAACCTGTCAGTGCAACCTCCATTTGCAAGATATGGCTTAGGAGCACTTGAATTACTTGAACTAGCAACACTACCATTTCCTACAGCTTTTGAAGGATCCACATTCATCTCAGAGATTTTCTTAACCTTCTTTTCTTGGACCTGTTATCAGGCAGAAAGAAAGAAATAAGTGGTTCTAGAACACATCCAAGCAACATCTCACAAGATACCGTATCTTATTAACAACGGCATCACATCAGTAAATTATGTCAATGAGTAAATAAGCGAAAAAAGAGTGAACATGGAGCCAAAGAAATAAGTAGTTGTAAAACACATCCAAGCACCATCTAACAAGATACAGTATCTGATTAACAATGGCATCACATCAGTAAACTATGTAAATGAGTAAATAAGTGAAAAATTGAGCCTGCGTGTTAATACAAAGCTCAAACAAAATCCAGCACAGCACATTCCCACTAGACATAGCTATTTCAAGTACTTCAACGAATAATATCAAATTTGTGCACCAAACCATTAGACACAGTTAAACAATAACTAGATGATGTGTGCCATATGTTGACATAATAGTCAGCTAAAGACGTCGGCAACAACTAAGGAGTTTTCCAGATTCAGTTTATAACTGAAACTCCAAAGTTAGTCAGTTATGAATAAATAAAAGTTAAAACAGCTTCAATCATCCGTTGAAAGATGCTTTCCAGATACAGCAAGATGATGGTTATTCTGTACCTTCCAAAACTTGATTGTTTTATCATTTGTAGATAGAAGGAAAAGGGCACCATTGGCCGTCTGGCACCATCTGATTTTGTTGATTTTTTCCTCTATTTCCAAACTCTTGAGATAGTCAAACTGATAGGAAGGAAAAGACATAATAAGCAACATCATCTACAAGCAAAAATATGTTACAATTGACAACAGTACTTGTCCCAAGTATACCTCTGGTTCATGGCTCTGAAATTCTGTCTTGTAACGGAATTCAGGATGCCTGGTAATTGGATAATCCATCCTTTCCAAATCTCTCCTTGATCCACCATGCTACAGATCAATGATAATCAGATTAGTAAGTGTGACATAGAGCAAAGAATTGATTGTATGATGACTTCCAGCGAAATTTTAGTGAACAGGCAAAGGAAGGAATAACACACATCCTTGGTATCTGTCCTCTCAAAAAGAACCACCCGTCCTCCGCGGTCCCCAGTTGCAAGATGATCTCCAGTTTTATCAAATTCAATAGCTGAAATAATGTCAACTGCAGGGGACAGGAAAGGAAGATAAGGGACATGCAGCATTAGACAACTCTAGAACAATGTTAATTATGTAAAATAATGCCAGTTCAAATTTCAAAAAGGGAAGCTGACACTTGTTCCGGCACTATGGTAAATACTTTCCATAGTATTCTTCCAATTCTCGGACTGAAATCACCCAACTTCAAAGCACATATCAATAAAGCAAATGCCAGAACACCAAGACCAATCTACAAAAATCCTGTGCCTTGTAAAGTTTTATCCCCGTAACTTGGAAATTACATACTGTGACACTGTATCTCCAGAAACACATCTTCCAAACCAGCTTGAAAATGCATAGAAACCAGAAATTCACTTTTGTGTTATAGTACCTAGCAACTGATTCCAACCTTCAAGCATCCTCTACCTAGAACTTGCCGGACCACCAGCAGTCATTAGCTTCTATCATGTGTAGCCACCTTCACACTTATCATTTCAGGTTTCAGCCAGTTTACTATGAGACCAACAGAGGGTGTACAGTAATTGTTTTCATATTCCCGTGAACAAGCTATGAAGCAAATCAGTTAAATGGCATATACTAAAACCCAGTGGATAGAGCCTCGCCAACTTATAACACCTTTTTGCCTCAACAATGTGCTTATTGATTCCTCCTCGAACTAGGGATGCCTTCACTTGGTATGGTCAGTCTTACAACCTTCCTCGCCCCAAGAGAAGTCAATTACCCCAACACACAAATAAACAAAAGACCAGCAGGTTGCTTTCAGGTGGAGGGAAGAAAGAACGAGTAGTGGGTCAGGCATTCTTCTAGATCATCTTACAGTGTTGGATAATCTCCATATAGTTCAAGAACTTTAATCTCTTGATTGCCAGATCACCATAACCAGACATTTCAAAACTACGTCATACAATTGAATAAAGACTGGAATGTGGCCTTCAATATAAATCTAGAGCTCCCCTAACTTTTGCAGGCAGTCATCAGTTTGCACCCATACTTGCTATGTACAAAAGCATGTAAAATGTGGTTGGGAAGCAAGAAGAAAAGGATGTCAAAACTCAAAAGGAATACCAGTCACATTCACCAATAGTGAATTCAGGATACCGACTCCAGAATCAAATTTCAGAACTGCTAATCCATATCACAGTTATGTCAACTATCAAGATCGAATCAAAGCAATACACACCTAAGCTCCAGCATTCACAGCTTTAACTGAACCAATACTACAGAAAACCATTGCATGCACTTCAGACAATAAAAGGGAGATGAAAGTAAAGGAACCCCCAATGGTTCTCTAACTTGGCCAAGCTCACTTACCACAGTCTACCCTCTCAATCTAATTAATCTCAGCACAAATCGCCACTTTTCTCCAAATCACGACAAAAATCCCAGAACAAGATGACAAACACTCATTGACCCATAAACCTAGGCACCAATTCCTCATCAACACACCACGATCCATTTCGGATCCAGGACCTAGAAAACAAGCCCTAGCTCGCAAGATCCAAATAAATAACACATTCACCTTCTTGTAATTCCTCGCCGGCAGTGCGCTCGCCGAACACCTGAGAGAATTTCCACTCCAGAGGCGGTGGTGGGCCCGCCGGAGTTGCTGCTGCGACCTCATCGCCACCGTTCATTTTGCTATATGTCTCTCTATCTCTATATTCTCCCCAATCTATATCTTCTCTATGGAATCTTCCTCCTCCTTAAGGAAAACAGAACCAAACGATGAAACAATCGAATCGAAGTGGAAGAACGACAACAAGCATACGCTGAACCCAGATTGATGAAGTCCACTCCAACAAAATCAATAGCCAATCGAAATAGACCGCATCTTGGCTTTCATTCCGCAAATCCCAGAAAAACCCATCAACCAATCTGCTTCCCTTCTCTCTCCCCCTCTTTTTTTTCTCTTTTTTACGGCTTAATTATCAAAAAATGACTACAATAGATTCTTCTAATTCAACCATTGAAACAGAGCTCCCTTCTTTCTCTTTGTGTTGTAATTTTTCTTCTCCTCCTTTTCTTTTCCTTCTCCAATGTCTCTCTCGAACAGACCCTCCCAAAAAAATTATTTCACTCTCTCTATAAACGACCAGCGGAAGAAAGAAAAAATGAAAAATAATTTAAAAGAGAAAAGGTGGATCCTTTTATCTTTCTCTCTCGTCGTTGCTACAGAGGAGAAGAGAGGAGAAAGTTGGGTTTTTGGTGTTCTGCTTCTTTTGGTCCTTGAAACTTGTATTGACTTACAAATCAGTCCTGATATGACAAAGTACTATGGTCTACTCAAACATGTGTGAGTTGTAGCCTTTGCCTATGTCTACTTTGTCAATGTTTCACAAGTCACAACCCATTCCATTTATCCATTTTTATTGCAATTTCCAATGTGTGTTTGTATTTTGGATATTGTCAAGTGTTGAAACTGATTTTTTTCCATGAGAAACTGATAAATGATTAGATAGGTTAGGAAGTGAGTGAGTGAAGCAAAAAGTTGAAATGGAAAGAACTTAGAATTTCAAGATTTTTTTAATTGATGCATTTAATCAATTTATAAATTCATATTATATATATTATTTCAATACATGTCTTTGAAAAATATAATGTTTGGAAGATAAGATTCTTCCTTTCGATAAATAACAAACCAACACATAAGTATCAAAAATATAATCTCACATTTTTGTTGAGATTGATTAATACTACATTGTGAAGGAGTAGAGTGTTTCACAAAAAATTAATACATAAATTTTGACTCAAAATAAACTAGAAAAATTATTTATTATCAATAATATATGTATGGGCTAAGGGGAGTTCTACGGTACCCAGTGTGAAATCTGGGGTACCGCATACCTTGAGTAAGAAAACACTATCCAGAACTTGAATTGATTGATCTTTCGGACATGATACTATACTCTAACCCTTAAAGATCAAAATCTAGGACTTAATTCTCTAAATCTTATACCTCAAGATCAATTTAATTAAAAATAATAATCGACGAATTATGATTCGTCCAAATATAGGCAAAAAATCAATGCATCATCTTAGGGTTTATAGTTTATGATTTAGATAATTAGGACCTAGGGTTCACTCATTAAGGGTTAGGGTATAGTATCATGCCCAAAAATCCAGCTAATTCGAGGTCTAGATAGCGTTTTCATACTCAAGGTATGCGGTACCGTAGAAGGCCCCATGGGCTAAATACATACTCTCAAATCCAAACCTTCAAACAAACCCTTAGATTTCAAGGTTAGTGGAATATGGGGACTTTGGATTCTGATTGGTAAATGTTGGTGTTTACCAACCTTCAAGCTGAACATTTACAAAACATAAGTATAATGGGTTAGTAGCAGGAACCAGGAGGCGATATAACTCATTTTAACTAACAAATGGAGGTAAAATACATGTAAAATTGGAACAAATTTAAAATAATAGACTAGTTGGTAAATTTTTAACCTCATCTTAATGACCATGATTTAAATCTTTCAAGTTTAAATTTTTTAGAACCTCAATCAGATTTCAGACTCCGCCACTAGTTAATTGTAATAAGAGAACAGGAAATGATTCTTGATTCTTAACCCCAACAGCCGACTAAATTGCAGAGATAAAGAGGAAGACCAAGACACTAATGCGGCGTTGCTGTACAGTTTATCAACACACATACATTTTAGTTATGTGGTGTGGTTTTACTCTTTTTATCGCTAGTTTTCTTTTCAATCAAGCTTGTACTTGTTTGATGTTTCTATTCCAAGCTAACAAACAGAAGCTAAGGAACCAGACAACTATGAGCTTGTCTTCTTGTAATCAAACTAGATATAAAAGCAGAACATCAATGAGAAGCAAAACAATCCTTAGGGTTTATATCCTTCGACTTTTGTTATGGTATCAGAGCCTTAGAGTTCGGGCCCCCAATGTCTGACGAAATGAATGTCGAGGAACAACCACAACCAATCATTTACCAAATTGAACATCCTTATTTTCTTCATGGATATGAGCAACCTGGATCACTTTTGGTTGTAGGAAATTTGAACACCACAATTTACAATGATTAGAGCAGAACCATTTCAATATTCTTGATGTTAAGAACAAATTTGGCTTCATCAATGGGAAACTTGTCAAGCCAGGAGAAATTGATGTACTCTAAGGTGCTTGGATAAGAAACAATGTCATGATACTAAGTTGGATTCAGCAGTTTCTTGAATTAGAGATCCAAAAGACCATTCTCTCAAGTAAATATGTTGTTGAGGCATGGAGAAGTCTCCAGAGAATATATGGATCAGGTGATATTGTTCAAGTTGCAGAGTTGTAAGAAGCCTTGTCAAATCTCAAACAAAGTAATCAAGCCATCATTAAGTACTAAGAAAAAATAATCAAACTATCAAGCAATGATTCCTTGTGATTGTACACCTACCAGTCATACTGACTGTAGAGCCATGAAACGAGTCCTTGAGTATCATGTTACCAGCTTTGTAATCAAGTTTCTCAGGCTTGAATGACAAATTTTTTGTTGTAAGATTTCAAGTCCTCTTTAGTGATGAACTTCCTAGCATCAATAGCGTCTTTGAGTGCATGCTTCAACATGAAAGACAAATGTATGGTACTAACAATGGTAAGATGATAGTCTTTGTACCATCAGAAGCCACAACTCTGGGTACTCGAGGTACTAACATAAGAGCTAACCTTCTTTCCAAAAGACCTTACTGCACCTCTTGTAAAAGAGAAGGACACAATGAGGAGATATGTTACCACAAACATGGGTGGCCCCCTGGTATGCCTTCAAAATCTGCCACCAATACTTTCAAAAGCATAGCTTCCCACCACCGCATCAGCACTCGCAACAACAACCCTAGTTCTAATAGAGGCATGTCGTTTGTTAATACAACTGCTACTGCAACACGAGAGGATGAAGTGAGACCTACCGAATCTGATTATGAGAATTTAATGAGTCTTATGACTAAACAGGAATCACAATCCTCTTTAACTATTGTAGCTTGTTGGGAAAATGTTTACCCTTTCCGCAAAGGTAAAATGAAATAAATTATTACTTGTCATAGTTGTGAATATGTGATTACAAGATAAAATCTCCAAAATCAAAGGAAATCAAGAGGAGACTGTTGCATCAAGAAGAAGTAAAAATGAAAGAAGCGACAAGACAATACTCACATAATATGGTAGAGCAATCCTACACAAACCACGACCAAACACTTTGTGATTAGAAAAATGTGTAAGGAGTGATAGGTGTTCATTATTTGTATTGCTTGAGTGTTTGTAAGGTTGTGTAGTTTCTCTCTTTAGCATGAGTGCTTGTGAGAAAGAGATAAAGGGGTATATTGCTATATTCTTGTCAAGAATTTGAGTTCCATCCGAAGATACTTGACTTGAAGTGGGAACGAAATAAGATTAAAAAAAATTAGACACTAGGTCTCAAAGGGTGAGCCACCTTTGAGTCGAGACGTAAGCAATATGCTTAACTCGGTTAACAAAAAATCTTGTGTACTCGTCTTGTCCTTGCTATTTGCTATATTGTGATTGATCCTTAAAAGGTACAAGAGCTTGCTAGTCAAAGGTAAAAGATGACTAGTGAAAAGTCCAAATCTTATCTCATCAACCTCATGGGCCTTAGCAATGTGTCAAAGCCCAACTCACAAGTCCGGATGATCAATCACTAATAACATGTATTTCAATTATCTTATTACTTATGTTATTTGCGTGCAAAACATGTTCTACAATTGGTATCATAGTTAATTGTCCTAACAAAAGGTTTGATAAAGAACAAGTCATGGCTGCCACATTGAGCTGCAGCAAAGAAGGATCATATGAGTCGGGACCGAAATAGACCACAAGGGATACATGGCTTTTGTCAGTTAGAATCATCTTGGTCTAATGGCCAAAGAAACACCAAACATCCAGGCAATACTTGGACCACTTCATCCATGCATGGACTATGATTCAGATGACTCATCAATGTCACTTGATATAAAAACTAAGCGACCAAATGAAAAATCACACAAGCATGAATTTAAGAAGAAATTGAAAAGAAAAAACATATATTTGACGAAATTATAGAAAGTATCAGTGAACTTGAAAATTTTCTAGAACGTCTTACTAAGTAGGTAATATAGCTGGAATATGATTGTCAAAAACAAGAAAAATTGTTACAGAATTATTAACAAAAACTCAAAACTTGGAGAACTTGACTAAGGCAAAACACACACAAAAAAAACTTTCATAGAACCAAGTGCTTTAGATGTCATAACTACGAACATAAAAAAACATGAATATCATACCCACCTCAATGGTTGGTTCTGTGTCACAGTACATATTATCATGGAAATCATTGTAATTTTGAGTAAGGATGGCAATGGGTCGGGTCGGGGACGGATAGTGCATATCCGTTACCCTACCCAAAGTAGTTCGGGTTTTACCCATACCCATACCCACATAAGAAACGGGTAGAAAATCAAAACCATGTCCATACCCTTTCGGGTTTCGGGTATCCACGGTTATCCATGGGTAATAGTTTCTCTTTATAACTTCAACCAATATTGTTATTATTCACATGTATTCTCATATTACCTAAGAGAAAAGGCATGACAATAATTCACTAGAATGAAGAAAATTCATTAAAATAACACAATTTCATGAAAAAGATTATATTTATATGCTAAATATAAAATATATTAGAGAAAAATAATGATTATTTCTAGACAAAATACATATGCATGTGTATATCGGGCGGGTTCGGGTTGGATAGTGAGAAAACCATGCCCACCCATTACCCGCAATATTCGGGTTCGGATTTTACCCGTACCCGCTAAAAGTCCTTCGGGTTCGGGTTTTACCCTACCCGACAAGGTCGGATTCGAGCGGATATCCACGATTATGGATATTTTTGCCATCCCTAATTTTGAGGATAAAAGAACAATAAATAAATTTAAATAATAATGGGGTCCAAATAAGCTAAAAAATCTCTTTTGTTTGATTAAATAGACTAAAATCATAAGAAAAATAAAAATAATTAATATAATATGCATATAATTTTTTTTACTGACTGGCGTGACTAGTTCGCCTCTTCCTACCAACTATTGATATTAAACTCATTTACTTATACAGGAAGTAATCAATTACACTTCCACATTATACTAAAGTAGACATCTTTTAGGCCGATCATGGAGCATTGAAAGTTAAACGCTA